ATGCAACTGTATCGTGTCTGGGAGACCCCTGTCAGTCAGTCCTGCTGCCACATTGATACTTCTGGATAGCTGCCATAGATCTAACTCCCTGCCTTATTCAGTGTGTGTGTGAACATTCTGTCCAAGTATTCTATGAGGAGGCTTATTTGGCCCAAGCTGGTGGTAGTTTTGCATTTGGGTCTGGCCATGGCCACCGGCATGTTTTTATTCTTGGCATTGAGTTGCCCGGTAACTTAGCTTGCAAGCCCCCCGAGTGCGCCACAGGACTCCACAGAGGGTGCTGCTTCTCCTGAGATGGATATCACCACCCTTCCAGGGGGGTCTTCCACCAGGCATGGCCAGTGTCCCAGTGTCAGCCTACTTGCTTGGGCAGATGGTTGGCTTGGGGCCTCTACGCCAGGCTTCCCGCTTTCCTGGAGAGTCAGCTGTTTGTACCAAAACTCTTTTCTGGGCTTTCAGGCCTGCCCAGGGCGGTGGGCTAGAGTGGGAAGAAGATAGACAAGAGAAGTGGGACCACATGGGTCGTGTGAGGAAAGAGCTAGAATCAGTGGCGTCTTAAAGAAGGTCATTAAAATGATTCCTGCTGCTTCAGAGTGAGTGGTGTCCTTTCATAATTCCTTGAAGTAGATATTCTTAGGCTGGGTGTTTTCTGATGAAGATTACATTAAAGTTAACTGCAGCTCGTCACCATTCAGAGATGGATTCTCTAAAGCTCAGATCTTGTTTCCTTCAGCACAGGCTAGCTCAAAAAGACCTTGATCGATAAACATGCCCGGCTTCTTCCTTTAAAAACTAAGAACTTCATTTGAACTCACAAAGGTTCACAGAAATGCCAGTGACCCCAGAGTTCAACTTAAGCATGGAACTAGAAGTTTAATTTTTTATGAGTTTTCTCTTTACTTCACAAGAAAGACCGAGCTGGAACAGGGAGAACATCCCTTCAGCAGAGAAGCCTCAGTAGTCTGGGGTGCTGCTGGTGGGTGTTGTACCTGTATGGTACTGCCCTGTTGGGAGCAAGAGGCGGGATGAGGGCAGAACTACTGAAGCCCCCTTCTGGCCCAGGTCTGGAGCGTCCCTGTTGACATGCAGATACAGATGGCAGGGGCGGGCGGAGGGAGGTGCGTGTGCCAGCAGGTGACTTGACAAGCTAATTTGGAGTGCTTTGGATTGGGTTTATGTAAACATCAGAAAACTGTGCTCCTTGGAAGCCCAGCTCTTCTGTGGGAGGAAGATTTACCCTTGTTCTCATGCAGTGTAAGGACTCGCCTCACTCTTCTCCATCACTGTGCCTGGAGCCACCATCAGAGGGCCCTTGTGGGCTGATGGCAGATGTCCATGCTCTCATCGTCTGGCCCTTTCTTTGCTTGTGCCTCTTCTCAGGAGGTGGGAAAGTATAGATCTTTTTGCTTGTTGTCCAGCTTTTCCCTCTCGCCAGTTACTATTCCCTCTTGCCTGTGCTGTGCCAGGCTCCCTTTTCTGTGCTCAATTTTGCCAGCTGGCACCTTTGTGGTCAGTGGGATTAGGAGAGTGGGGGGCTGAGAGACTGGCGAGGAAGAAGGGGATGCCTGCCTTTCCCTGGCACTAGGACTGCTCAGCCACAGCCGAGCCAGTTTGTGATGCTCCCAGCTCAGGGCTGGTGCTGTCTTTGGAGATCTGGGTCAGACATCCACAGGGCTCCCCCGAGATCTGAGCTCTGGTTTTCCAAGTTTCTTGGTTCCCACAGCCCAAGAAATCGTAACTGCTTCCTGCAGTTGCTCCCTCCTCATGTCAGTTACTTAGTTGATGTTTCTTCACATTCAGTTCTTTGTGTCCACAGAGTACCTGTGATTTCTTTGGCTGTGATATGTATCCCAGTAGGGGGAGAGCCGTGTGAGGCCAGGCTTGTGGTGGTTTCTTCAGGGCCCAGAGAAGTTTTTTATCTGGACTCAATAAACATGGAGTGAATGAATTGGACCTGAGCTGCCAGCAGGCCTGACAGGTTTGGTTGAGAGCTCAGAGCATCATCTGTGATACACTGGATCTGGGTGTTTAAAACAGTTGGGTCCTAGTGAAATTGTCAAGCCTAGTGAAGGCATTGGGAGCTCAGGGCAGAGTTGGGCCAGTAACCTGAGGAGGGAGCCCATTGTGTGCCATGACAAGATGTTTGGCTGTCTGCTCTAGTGGCCTACCCAGGGCTGGTCCTGTAGGTGCTGGGTCTCCTTCAGGACCCTGTGTTCTTGGGCATCTTCTGTTCTCAGCCTCACTTCATGAAAAGCACTGTACCTCTGGGAGAGAGTGGTTTTCATTTTTTTTTTAATTATTTATTTATTTGTGCATACAGAACTGGGGTACAGGCCAGCGACGCGGAAGGTGAGAGGATTCACCAGGGACAGAGTGGGGAGCAGAACAGGCAGATCGATGAAGGACATTGCTGAGGGGAGCAGTGGGCGGGTCAGGAGAGGTCTGCCACGCCATGTGGTCACCTCTGGGGCAGGCGGGGATCGAACTTATGCGGAAGTGGCTTGAGCTTCTTAGTGTAGTGCTTTAACCCGCTGCGCCCCCAGGGAGGGCCGAGTGGTTTTCATTTTAACCTGACAAAGGAGTTTTGCCAGCCTGGTCCTGATGCACAGCCCTGGGAGACTCTGTCCCCTTCCTGTAGTTTCTGCGGGACACATGACTATGTTCTTCCCACAGCTGACAGTCCTTTGGCTTGTGGACTGGGTACACAGTACCTGGCCCCCACTTCTCCAAGGGGCGAAGGCTCCGCTGCCTCTGCGCAGTGAGTGGGGGCTTAACAGCTAGTATGCAGTGGTCCCGCTTGCTCCTGGCTTCACTCACTCACTGCACAGGGCCCGGGTCCCACACTTAGAAGTGGGCTCTCGGGCTCTCGACTGGTGGATAGCAGTTCCCTGTGACGTTGTGTCTGGGGCGCTGTGTTTGTTTGTACCTGCTCTTGGCAGGCGAGGTCTCCAGTGGGGCTCTCGGTGAAAACAAGGCCAACCTGCTCCCCAAACTGCAGGGGTTGATTTGTCGGTCTCCTACAAGCCTTTTCCCAACTACCATGTTTAGGACAGCTGGTCAGCACAGCGCCTTTCCCCTGAGCCTGGTGGCGTCCGTGCTGTGCCTCCTCCCAGAGGATAGCACTGGCCGCCTTCTTGCCTTTGTATGTGTGAGCAAGCAAGGGGAATGCGCTGTTCTTCTAATTAAATTACCCGATTCAGAGTGATTTAGGGCACTTGTGAACTTCCCCACCTGAATTCAATGATTCCAGAGTCGATTTCACAGTCCTTGATTATTAAATTGGCCTATGAATAGTTTTAAATTGAACTAGAACTCAAAATAGCCTCTTAATACATCTGTTTCAAATGAGTATTTGCGCTTGTTTTTTATTTTGTAGCTGTGGTTATAAAGTGCCTAGCGTGGCAGGTGCAGTGGCCAGTTGTACATTTGAGTTAGATGTTGGTGCAGACTTTCAGAGGTGGCTAAGTTGAAGCGAAATGCCAAGGCCCTGGGCGCTAGAATGCTCTTCTGGGACTCTGAGACTTGTGCTTGGCATCCCTGCCAGTGGGCCCAGGCCAGGCCTTCTATTACGTCTGTTCTAAAGTTCTGTAAATGTGCAATTCACACTTAACTTTCAAGTTATACTTAGCTGTTTCAAGAATTACACAAAATTATAATTTTAAAGAACCCTGTAATCCCTCAGATGTGAAATAGAAAAAAATTAGCACCACCAAATTGGAGACCACCTCCAAAGAAAGCATTGTCTACACCCCTGTGAACCTGGCTTTTTTGAAATCATGCTATCAAAGCAAAAAAGAAATAATTGGATGCCAAGAGGGATGTAAGACTGCAGGTGTCATTGTAGTTCTTAGCCTCAAATTTCTGTATTTTCCAAATGGTCTCGTCCTCATTGATCACTACCTCAGGTAGATGTTGTAAATGTCACCTTATAACATAATCCTAATGATTTTTTTTTTTTTGAGATTTTAAAGTTTTCCTCTGGGGAAGAGGTTCCTGAAGTAATAGCATGTGTTTCCTGCCCGCCTGGTGTGTGCCCTGCCCCATGCCATCTCTGTATGCTGACTTCTCTACCAGCCAACCTGTTCCCTCTCTCGGGAGATCCCTCGGGGAGCTCTTTGGGGTACAGAGTCATGACTCTTGCTGTCATTTGGGCCCTAGTTGCCGTTTGACACGTCTCCTGTGCTGGTTTTGAAGAATGTGTGGACAAACAGGTGCAGATGGCCAGAAGTAGGTGCTGAGGGCCAGACAAAGAGCGGCCAGGATCTCACTGAAGTGGATGCTAGCCTTGGAGGGACCCCTGTATCCGAGTCTGCACCTATGGTCAGAGGAGATAACTTGGTAGTAAAGGAGGCTGGCCCAAGAGAGAGGCTGTTGTAGTGATGTAGTAAATTGGAGCAAATGTGAGAATTAAGGTAGAAGTTGGGGGGCATGGAGGAAGGAGGTGCCTGCAGAGGAACTGACAGGAAATGCCAGCTGGCCCCTTGACCACCTCTGGAGGAGCCTGGCCCAGCACCATGCTGATGTGGAGGGGGGAGAAAGTGTGAGGAACTGCTCCCCCACCATGGTGGTGTGGACCTGGGATTGTGTGGGGGGACTGCTCCCCCACCGTGCTGCTGTTGGACTGCCCCCCATCAACCTGCACATCTGTGGCCGACTGATTCGGATGGAAGTGCTGGCTCTGGTAATTTAGCTCATTCAGAAGCGCCGTCTCCCCAAAGAGCTTCCTTGCTGACAATTTTTCCCATTGTGTGTGGAGTTGGCGCTTCCCCTCCCCCGCTGCCCGCCACGTTCTGGGATCACCCTGGGTGTCTATTTGAAATCCAGAAACTCCTGAAAGGCTCTAAGTAGCTATTCAAAAGTGAGGAAATGACAGTGAGCTGGTTGCACGTGCAGCTCTATTTTGGGACAAGTAATGAACCATCCTCGTCTTGGGGGGCTGTCCTGGGGAGCTGTCCTGTGGGCCTGGCTCATCGCTCTGCCCTTTTGCCCTTTCTCTGCAGTGCCCGTGAGCTGGAGAAGGTCCGGCAGCAGCTCCAGGACGAGGTCCGCGAGGTCAGCACCCAGCTGTTGGAGGAGAGGAAGAAGCGGGAGACTCAGGAGGCCCTGGCCCGGAGGCTGCAGAAGCGGGTCCTGCTGCTGACAAAGGTGTGGGGTTGACCCTACCTGTGGGGCTTGCTTTCCAGGTCAGGAGCTCCGAGCTCGTTCCCTGCCACATCCACGCTGGGTCTCTCCAGGCGTCTGTGTTTGTCTGGGTCTATCAGACCCTGTGTGCTCTTGCCGTAGTGTTTTGTGCCCTCACTCTGAGCGGTCTTCCTGACATGGAACCACCTGTGTGTCACAGCTCAGGTCAGTGTGAGTGCGTTTCTCCCCAAAGGAGAGTTGTGGCAATGTAGTCGTGCTGTGTGTTTTTGTGCTGGGTTGTCAGGAGGCTTATTGAAATGCAAAGAAGTATTCTCTAAGCCCCAGTCTTGGCTGTGAAGTCTCAGAGGGAACTGGTGTGGGCCCTACCTTTCTGGAGACCTCTCTTAGTGTCTCAGTGTCCCCTCCCAGTGAGGGCAGAGCCTGGGGGTTTCATCTACTTCCCAGTGTCAGCCCTGAGTCTTTTCCCCTGTTAGTTCCAGAAATGGCTAAATTGGTAAATTTACCAATTGCCGTGGGCCTGTGACCTAGGGCCTGGTAAAAGCTGTCATCTGTGTCCAGATGCGCCGGGCGGAATCTGTTCCTGTTCCCAGCCTCCTCCATGGAGACTCGATGCTCTCTAATTGCTCTGTGCTTGAAGAGCTTCTGATGTCTGGTCCTCGAAGCAGAGTTCGCTGGAGCGTGAATTGAGGTTTTTGTGCGAGAGTGTTATTTAAAATGTTGCCTTGGATGCTGAAAATTCACAGGATGAGCGAGGAAAAAGCCTGAAAGCCAGAATCTGTCCCCAAATGCTCTCTAGGCAAGAGAGGGGGGTGTCCAGGTTTCAGCAAGGACTCTTGGCTGCCCTGCAGCTAGTTTTGAATGGGCCTAGTGGAAAGACAGCCCACCTGGGAAATATCAGAGTTGTGTCTAACAAATGTTTGCCTATTCTTGATCATGTTGGATGAAAACCTAGGGTCCTTGCCACTGAGACCTCCTGGTTATGAAGTTTTAAGAAAATAAGTTGTATGTCAACTGCTAAATGACTGCTGTGTTCTGGCTTTTCTAGCTTGTTCCCTGGCCATGCCATCTCTGTGTGGAGGACCTCACGTGTGTCTTGGTATCAGTCAAGACCACAGATCCTGGTGCTGCCCCCGGTGGGTCTTGGCCAACCTCTCCACACAGGTCCAGGGTGGAGACTCTTCAGATGACTCCCATGGGGAGATATTGCAAAAATGTCAGGTAGCTGCTATGTGACATTCTCAGCTGAACTCTGGTTCAGTACTTTTGTGTGATAGATTGTGGGTGCTTACATCGAACTGACTTCCTACAGCCTTGCTCCATCTTCCTTTCTTCCGAAACACTGACCATGTACCAGCTTCTGTGTGGCAGTTTCGTGATGCCCTCATAGACATAGGATTGACAGTCTGGTGGGGGAAAACAGGCAGAAACAACTAGCAGACACATCTTTGCCAATCCTGAAAAATGCACAGTGCATCACAACAGTAAAGGAATTGTTAGAGGAGCTGATAGTTAAACTGAGGCCTGAAGGTTCTGTCTATGAAAAATACAGGAGAAGCTGGCTTTGGCATTCTAGAGCTATGACTAGGGGCCAGGCAGGAAGGTACTAACAGTGCTTACCAGCACTCGGCCCAGGTGTGTAGAATGTACATGTCTGTCTCTGAGGGCTCAGACAAGACTTCTGCAGTGATGGACAGAGTTGCTCAGGGCCAGGGGATAAGAGGGGCCCAAGCTGTGGGGCTCAGGTGAGGGAGGGCTGGAGAGCCGAAGGGAAACAGCACAGGGACTGCTGTGGGCCCTGGTGTGGAAAGCAGAGAGTTTCCTGGGATGATGAGTGGTAAACCCTTCTTTATGATCTCAGAAAAGCTATCATTACCCTCTACAGAAAAAACTCAGGCGGGATGACCCAGTGTCTGTTCTGAGCATGCCAGCAGCATTTCATGCTGAAGTGGCTTAGTCATCAGCCTTATGGATTCTCACTTGGACACTGCTCATGAGGCATTGTGAAAAGCCCAGAAGAGGAAAACAGGATAGGGGGTCCTAAAAACCTAAAATAGAACTGCCCTATGAACCAGCAGTGCACTTCTGGGTACATCACTGAAGGAAATGAAATCACAGATGAGTTGCACCCCTCTAGTCACGACAACAACATTTACAACAACCCAGACATGGAAACCACCTGAGTGTTGATTAACATATGAATGGATGGAAGTAGAATATTCAGCCACATGTGCTATCTCCTTATGCAGAACCTAAGAAAACTGACCTCACTGATAGATAAAGATTGGTGGTTGCCAGGGACAGAGAGAAATGAACAGAGGTGATGAAAAGTTGTAAGATAAATTGACAGAAAATGCAAAACACAGAAGATGTGGTTTGGTCTCCTTCCCTCAGGAGACTCTGGGGTGCGCCACACCTTGGCTCTTGGCCTCCACGGGCTAGCCCGGCCATGCCTTCTGGCTATGAGGACATCACACATGCTGCAAGATGCCTGGTGACCTCACGGCTTTGGGAAGGTCTGTGGAGAGAGGCTGTGAGGCTGATTAGCAGGTGACAAGTTACCGTGGTGGTTGCCTTGGACACTTGTGGGATCTATTTGTACCTTGAGCCACTGAGAAGTCTTTTGGGTTTGGCTGCTGTGGCCCTTCGATGGGCCCCCAGCAGTTGGTTGTGTGTGTTTGAGGACTCCTTGCTTCTTACTGTCTGGTGCTACAGAACTCCCTAGGCTTATCCTCTATATCCCCTGGCCCCGTCCTGAAGTCTGCCATTGCTCCAGGACCCCTGTCCTGAATGGTGTTGGAAACCAAGATCTGGGTGCATCTGTTGCTCTGGAGGTATTGTTGCTCCTTGGCTGTCTCAGCTGTCAGAGCCAGGAACTGAATGTGCACATAGTAACGTGTGTCGACCCGTACTTAAAAATACTTCTACATGGGAACGTGCATGTGTGTGTATTAACTGATGTACATGCTTTACATACTTGCCCATGAGAACGGATGTTGGAACTAACTCATTTATACACCTATCTGTAAATACTTAGAAGTGTAGCCTATAGGTTTCTATTATGCTGAGTAAGAGTTCACACATACCTGAACCCTCATCCCGTTCTTCAAGGGTCATTCCAGTCTCCTCCCATTGCTCATCTTCCACTGTAACACAGAGAAGCCTCCATCCACTGGCACTTCTTAGCAATGCTTTACAGGATCAGCACTGTTAACCTAGGAGATGTTTTTTTTTTTTTTTTTTTAACTTTTTATTTTGAAACAATTGTTGAGCACAGCAGGTTGTAAAGAGAGTACAGAGGGTCCCTCGAGCCTTCACTCAGTCTCCCCTATTGGCCACACTTTATGTAATTAAAGTATAAGTTGGTGTTGGCGCAGTGTGTGTGGTTCAGTTGTGTCCCCTCTTGGTAGATGTTTCCGTGCTTTTAGGTTTCAAAAATGCTGCCGTCTTCACAATGCACCCTGTGCCCCCTTTCTAAGCACGCCCTCCTTCCCAACAGCCCTAGCATGGCAACTACTAGTCTTGTTTTCTCTTTCAAATTTTTTGTCATTTCAAGAGTGTTAAAATAAACGAATTATGCTCAAAAGTGGCGTTTTCAGGCTAGCCTTTTCCACTCCCCAGATGCCCAGTCCACCCACTGCTGCATACCAGCATCCTTTCCTCTTGCTGCTGTGTGTTCTAGGTGCAGACAGAGCCTGACTGTTGTAATCCTCCACCCGTTGGTGGGCATTTTCACCATTTCTGGGCTTGACTATTATATACAGAGCTGATCTGAGCACTGGTGCACAGGCCTTCTGTGGACATGAATTTATTTCTCTGGATAAATGCCCAGGAGTGCTTGCTGGCAATCAGGTGGTGACTTTTTGAGCTGGATTATTGGCGGCCTGCCTTGGTGGGCCCCTGGAGTTGAGGGGAAATTCGGGGGAACTCTGGGGGAGTTGGCCTTTGTCTGCATGAGCCTGTTCCTTCTGGTTGAGCTGAGCTGTGATGGGGTGTTCTCAAGGAAGTCTGCCTGGGGAGAAGGGTAGGAAGCTTCTGGGGCATCCTGTGTCCAGAGGCCCCACATACCTGATTTCTGTGGCTGCTGTAACAGTGCCACAGGTGTGGCAGCAGGAGTCAAAGCAAGTGCATTATCTTCCACTTCCGTGGGTCAGACACCAGGTGGACGAGGCTAGATCTGGGGTTCAAGATATCAGTTTAGACCTTGGGAAGCCGTGGGACCTTGGGAGCGGTGGGTGCCAGCTCAGAATGTGGGAGGCTATCCTGAGCTCTCAAGGGAGAGTCTGCTGCCACACTTATTTGTATCGCAGGTTTCAGTTCCCGGAGCAGTATGGACATATTGCAGCTCTTTGCTGGCTCTTCTCACACTCACCCTCAGCTGTCCATGCAACCCCCTCTAGCAACAGTGGGTCAAGACCTCCGTGCTTCAAATTTTACCCACTTTTCTTTCTTTCACATCTCTCTGATTGCCTTGGAGAAAGTTCTCTGCTTCTAAAACCTCGTGTGATTAGATTGGCCTATCCAGACAATCCAGGATATCCTTCTTGTTTTACCGTCCAGACCATAATTTCATCTGCAGAAGGCCCTCTTGCACTGACAGGCAGCTGAGTGACATTACCACAGGGGCTTACCACCCCTGTGTCTGGGGTGGACAGTATGGAGATGGGCAAGAGTTGAGAACTCAGGTGTGTGCGAGGCCAGGCTGGCAGCACAAAGGAGGGGGAGCCCCTGCTGCAGTGCGACTGCAAGGCTCAGAAGGCACGTGCCTGCCAGGACCGGCTGCCAGCTCGACCTCTGCCTTAGGGCTCAGAGGAGTCTTCTCAGTTTTTAATGAGAAGTCAGCAATTTGGATATTTATATGAAGTGTTCCCTTTTGTAAATGACCATGTGTGTCAAACAGCATATTCTAATTTTTGTTTTGATGATAGCAGTAATTTCATTTACTTAAGTATTGGACCCCAAAGAACAATTGTAACGTATGGTGTTCAAGTTTATTATTTATTTAT